AGGCATCTGTGGAGGATGGATAGGGTGCTTATTGTACCTGTCTTTCTCTCCTGTACAGGTATGATACCACACACACTACACAAAAGCCTGGGAACATTACAATTGAGTAGAAATACATACATCACACTATAGAAGGCCATTATATTGAATACATGCCACATTGTTAGGAAATTTCTGAATACAGACACACACATTGACACACTTCTTTAATTTTAGGTTTGTTTTGGTTGCTATGCCTTGACTTTGGTCCGGCATAGTACACAGCCACCGGTGTGAACCTAGTATAACTCACAAAACATAACAATAATAATAATAATAATAAAAGTTATTGAAGACAAATTCAATAATTTAAATAAGTAAAAATTCAAGTCGCGGAAGTTGCAGAATAATGTTAGCTATTTATAAAATATTTTTGTTTGTTCAAAACTGAGAGTATTGAGAAATTGCATTCTTTTAATTTTCATAGTAAACACAACTCTGATATGACTGATGTAATTACATTGTTTAAATTCTTATTTTATATCTCTTGCAAGGTAGTATTGCAAACAGGATTGTAAATAATAATAACCTTTTGAGAATGTTTTAAGTATATGGTAGAAATAAAACTTGTAGGTTTTACAGATAAAAAAGTTATTTTAACTTTAAGTTAAAAACTTTGCAATTGTTTTAATTCTAATCCACAGATACAGCCATATTCTTATTGAGTTACAATATGGCTAATTAAGCCATGTCGGATATTGTAGCTTGATAAAAATCTAGTTCTATCATTTGATTAGAAACATTTATATGTTTTGATTCTAATCAAGGTAGTCATTTCTATATTTCAAAATATTTATACAGTAATACCCCAAACTTACGCGATAGATGGGACAGAGCGATAACCGCATAGGTCAAATTCGCATAAGTCGGGGTATAATTTCGCAATTTGTGTAAAATACAAGTCGGATGTATGTAAGCTAATAAATGTTCTCATTAATCTTATCTCATCATTTGATTCGTTAATGGTTACAAGAAATCACCACATAGAGTCTCTCGAGTCTCCGTAGATATAACAAACACAGAAATAAATACAGGTATACCTCGACTTACGTCGTTTCGAGTTACGTCGTTCCCGATTATACGTCATTTGTTCAAAAAAGTATATGGAAAAATAAAAATCAAGTTTAAGTCATTTTATTCGACTTTACGTCTGTCTGCCACAAATATTGAAGTCTTAATACTATAATACACAAATATTGAAGTCTTAGTACTATATTAAAAACTAAAATTTATTTGTTTGTAAGCTAAAATAGATCCTTATTAGCCATATATTATTAAAAATGCATTAATAAATAAAATACAGAACCGGAAATGGTAATTTATGGTTTAGCCTAGTGACAAGTAGATTCGGAGACAAGTATATTCGACTTACGTCGCTTTCCTGGAACCAATTACCGACGTAAGGCGAGGTATGCCTGTAATACAAAATAAATTGTAGCTGTGTGTCAATTCCTCGCGACACGTCTGAACATGTAAGCTGAACAATAGTGTGGGGGGGAGTAATCAAGAGTCGCGTGGCACTCAAACAAAAGACAAATCAACGTGATTTGAAAATCGCATAAGTCGAGGTATTACTGTACTTTTATTTTCAAAACTAGTAATTATACATGTACCCCTTGATTAATGCAGTTAATTAATCCCTTGATGCTACCACATATATCAAAATCATGTTAATGAAATATGGTATCTATGTTAAGTAAAGACAAAAAATGTGCTGGTAAAGCCACATTAATTAAAATTTTTGTCATGTATATAAAGAGATTGCCACAATTAATTCTGCATGTTAATCAAATCCTGCATTAAGCAAGGGATACCTGTATATTGATTTTGGTGTTTAGTATGTAAATAAATTCCAGTTTTTAAATTTATATTTCTTTATAAATTATTGATTTGGTCTCAAAGCTATTTTTAAGATTTCATACATGTATAGACATGTAGAATTTTGAGATTGTTTTTAATTAGAAAAACTATGAAATATTTTTTGTTATTTAGATTTTTTCCATATTTATTCTATAATTATAATACATTAATTTGTTAATGTTGATAACAAATCTTTTATTTATGTCTTAGTTATTTGCAATGTTGAATTTGTTAACTTAAAAAGTTTTAAATTGCATATTCAACAAGAATTCAACATGATAAGAAAATATTTTAAATTTATTATCCTGTTAATATCTGATAGGAATAAAAACAGATAGCAAAGAGCTTGATATTGTTGTAAACAACGACTAACTTTCAAAAATTTCTGTTTAGAGATTGCCTTCTTTGTGCTTGTGTTATGCAGCTTATTGCTTTAAAATAAAATCAAGTAACCCTTTTGAACTTTTCTTGGGGGATCTGCCTAAATACATTGGCCCTTCTCTCATCACCTGCCCCCATTGTGGGCAAAGCTGAATTCATGATGAAAGAATACCTGCATAGTGCCACAGGGTGGAAAGAGTTTAAAAATAAAGAGCCTATAATAAAATATTACAGTAAAAATATCATTTGCATTTTTAATGAATTCTTTTACATAAAAGATTTTCCAAAATATGAAGAATTTATAAGTGTTTAATAGTCTTATAAATTTTTGTTCTAAATATGGGCTACAATTTTCAAATTGTAGACCTATACATTCCTGCCGTCATCCATCTGTTTGTCCTTCATTAATCTTGAGAATGGAGTTAGATAGAAGAAAATCAAGAGCAGATACGGAAAGCCTAGGGGCTGGAAGCCGTAATTAACTATTTAGGAAGTTACGGTCTTGACTGAAATCACAAGATTTCAATTCAAAAGTTTTACCTTATCTTGAGAACAAAGTTAGATGAAAATTGAGACCAGATATGGAATTTTAGAGGCTAGTGGTCCCGCTTAACTATATACAAGCTTCCGATCTGAACCAGAACTCATTTGATTAATTTAAAAGATGATTAAAAATTTCAACCCAGCATTGTGATGATGACATACTAAATAATTGCTCATATAATTTTATTTTTTACAAAGTTAAATTTTTTTAATAAAAAATTTACAATTTTTTTGATCATTTGATATACAATAATATAGATATTTATTATTGTACATTATCAAAAAATGTAAAAATAACCAAATGAATTAAAATTATAACAAATTAAAGACACGTTATGTGGATAATTTATGGAAACTTTGAGAAAAAGCTAAAAATTCATGCATTTAAATCGAAAGATGATATTGGTGATATATTAAAGATTTATTCAATTTCACAAAGGAAAAAATTGAATATATGCATAACAGAAGAAATGTATTTTTATAATAATACAAAAAATTAGACAAGAAATTTTATATTATTGAAATGTACAAAATTTCTATTTTATTACCTTTTAAACTTTACTCCTTCATTTTATAATTGAAGAAACTATAAAAAATTTGTTTTTACTTATTCATAAGTGTTATAACTGAATGATAGTGAATAAGTAAAATTAAAGGATATATATATATATATATACAGTTATATCATTATGTAGCATGATTATGTTGATAATTTTGAATATTTTAGTAAATTTGCAAGAAAGTGACTATGTAAAATATTTGTTAGATGATACATTTTGATTTTTTTTTTGAGGAAAGGTTTATAATTTATTTGATTTTACTATTTTTTAATGTTTGTTAGCACATTAAAGTGTTTGAGTATACTTCTGCACACATTTATCATATTACATTTAGTTAAAATTTTATGTGAGATTTTTGATTATTAGAATTGTGAATGTGCATTTATGAAATTTATGATTACGTACTGTATAAATACATATGAAATACTTTATATTTATTTTTGCATGTTAAAAACTGTTTGATCAAAGCTATTAAAAGTCAATTCTGCTTATTTATATTATTTGAAAATTAACAAATGATGATAAAATTAGAATATCATTCATGATTTTATTATATTATGATTTAATTAACTCTTAACTAAAAATATATTAAATAAATTTTAAAATATAAAAATAATCAACTTTATAAAAAAGATATAAAAAATGAATATTTACCTTTTAACTTTTAGATTCCAATAACCTTATTCCTCAGGGTCAGGGTGGCTGTCCTACTCCAGGTTGTAAAGGAATTGGTCATATTAAAGGACCAAAATATACCAGTCATCACAGGTGAGTTCTTTTATGAGAATAGAAAATATAATAAACTTTAAAATTTATTAATTTTTTCATATTTGTAATGTTTAATAAGATTGGCACTTTAAGTGAACAATTATAAATCAGTTTTGTAGTGTTGATAATGTATAAAATTACTCTTCAGAACCAATCTTTTTTATTTTTGTTACAGTTGCAATGCTTTCGGAATATTTATATCCTTTAATAGACAAATATAAATGAAATTTTTAATTTTGGAGTAAGGTTTCAATACTAATTTATTTTAGTTTAATTATTTATACAAGGTAGTGGTAAAATAACAGAAACAAACATTTGTCATTACTGTGACTTTATTAACTGCAATAATGAATTTGTAATGATAAAACATGGCAATACCATGTCTTAAAATGAACATTTTCAATGATCTTCAATGTGGCTTCCCATGGATTTAATGCAGAACCTCAGACATTTGATGAAATTTTTTTGTGATGGAACATAGCTCCTTTCTTTCCTTACATTTTTCCCATTTTTTCAGAAATTTTTTTGAGGGACTCCAAACTATTGTGAGAGGTAGCATAGTCCCTTGCCTGCAAAACAGACCAAACATTGATCCATATGATTGAGGTTAGGAATATGGGCCTTTTCTTGGCACTGATAAAAACTAGAAAATTGTTCCTGCTCCAATTTCGTGTTTCAGTTAATTTGCGTGCCATTGTAGTCTTACTGGATGTCCAATCTCTGATGCCAAAATGCTTGATTGATGCTTCAAACTGTCCTTTTGATAATTGTGCACAGGTTTGATTATGAAAATCTTGTCAGTAGAAAGGATTTTTTTCCTAACCATGAGAAGCATGCTGACACAAAATTTCCTGACTTCTCTGAAGCCTTTTTCTTTTTGTTTTCTTCTGTGAGATGATAAATCTTTCAGCACTTGTATGGCTTCAACTGCAGATCTTCTTTGACAATTTGTTGTAAAGATCTATTGCTGATACAGAGGTCACAAGCCATTTTTCACAAGGATACTCTTGTATTTATATATATTTGATTTCAAACAATCTTACAGATTCTGTCAGTTGTTATCATACATTTTCCTCCTCTTTTTGGATGATTCCCAATGTGACCAAGCTCCTTACTCTTCTTGATTGCCTTCAAAATAGTCTGCTTCAGAACCAAGGCTGTGAACAATTTCATATTGATGCCTGCCAGCCCTATACAAACCATGAAATTTTGCCATTCCCACCAACAATACATACAAACACAGATGGTACCACTATTGACTGAGGACATGGTAGATGTCAATGCATTGTGACATGTGATCAGACATCATCTTAATCCCATATTTTGTATTTCTAGCTCATTGCAATTTTTGTCTCCATTATTCTGCTGATAATCTATCATAATTTTTTCTTAACACGTATTTTAATTATGATAGTTTTTCTATAAAAATTTTTCTTTTAATTCAATGTCTTCATTAANACATTTTCCTCCTCTTTTTGGATGATTCCCATTGTGACCAAGCTTCTTACTCTTCTTGATTGCCTTCAAAATAGTCTGCTTCAGAACCAAGGCTGTGAACAATTTCATATTGATGTCTGTCAGCCCTATACAAAACATGAAATTTTGCCATTTCCACCAACAATACATACAAACACAGATGGTACCACTATTGACTGAGGACATGGTAGATGTCAATGCATTGCGACATGTGATCAGACATCATCTTAATTCCATATTTTGTATTTCTAGCTTATTGCAATTTTGTCTCCATTATTCTGCTGATAATCTATCATAATTTTTTCTTAACACGTATTTTAATTATGATAGTTTCTCTATAAAAATTTCTCTTTTAATTCAATGTTTGCACTAAAAACTAGTTTAAAATTTTATTGGGTTGCAACTTGAAAAAAATTGTAGACCTATAAATTTCTACTGTCATCCATCCATGTGTTTGTGATTGTGTCCATCTGTCTTTCCTTAATCTTGAGAATGGAATGAGTTATATGAAATTCGAGACCAGATAAGGAAACCTTAGAGGCAGGAGGTCCCGATTAACTATGTGTGAACTTCCAGTGTAAACTGGAAGTCACATTATTTCAATTCAAATCTTTCCCTCGAAAGCAGTTAATAGATGACCAACACACACTATTGTTAAAGGAAAAGTATGATGTATTGAGGCAAGACTACAGTATTAATTTGAGGTGGAGAGCATATATTTTAAATTAAATTAATTAAAAATATGATTAAGATTTGCAACCCAGCATTATGACCATGTCACAATAAATAATTGCTCGTTAACAATAAATTTATTTATTTAGAAATAACCAAATATAGTAAATCTATAAGAAATTGTATTGGAAATGTTAAATTCCTTTTAACAAATATTTAAACTGATTTATTATACTCTTGTGAATTGATTCTTAACATTATTTTTGTTGAAAATAAGTTTTTATAATATAAAAAAATCATTTTGTCACATCTTATTTAAAAAACAAAATTTGAATGAGAAAAAATTATATATAAAAGAAACAATTATATTACATTTGAAAGAATATTGAGGCCATTATTTAATTTAGTGTTCTAAAGATTGTCAACTTTTAGCATTTTCTGTTTTCTTATGGCTTTTTTAAAATTTAATTTATACAAAATAATGCATTTACATTCAATTCTATCCATCTGTTTCTTTCTTTCTCATAACCTCTCTTTCTAAGAATTTGTACATCAAATAATTTTGACAAATAATGTTCAAATTTTGATGAGAAGCTCTTTCTGTTGTAATTATTTGAAATGTTATACTGCCATACATTAAGATACAACAGAAATAGCAGTACTAAGTTATTATTTAAATAAAATCTAGTTTTTCAAGTTTTACATCAAAAAGATTTAATATTATGGATTATTTATTTCATTTTGCTTTCCTGGTTGTTTTGTATACATAACAAGGGAAAGTATAGGAATTGTGTCAGTTTTGGTACTTTGAGTTTTTTGCAAATCTCCACATTTGGAGACCTCCCGAACCCAAAAAAAAAAAAAAAAAAATTCTATGGATGTGTGTGTTGGCATCTATTTCGTTTTAATATTTCAGGATGAGGTAATGATGAAGAAATGAAATTTGGCATAGTGGCTTATATATGAGGGGCATTTATGCTATTAAATTTTGGTGGTTAATGGTTGAAGGGATGGGATATAGAGGGGAATCATGTGTCATATCTCAAGAGGGGTTGGACTTAATGAAGATTTTATTTATTATTGGCATTTTTTTTTAATAAAACTTATCCCTTTTTTCAAAATTAAGCTTTTTGCCATTTGATGATAATTAAAAATATAAACATTTTTATAACAAAATCTCATAACGGATGGTACCACATATAATTTTATTCATTTTATTAATGATATAAAAGTTATTTTTAAATAAAATCTTATAACAGCTGGGAAAGTTATGCAACTTGTTACTAGATTTTTTTTATATACTGATACAGTAACCTCACTATAATGATCATTTGTGGATCTGGAAAATAGTATTGTTATACCAAGGTTATTGTTGTAGTGAGGTCTTGAAATTTAAGAACCGAGATCATTAAGAATGTGAAGATTAGTTTGAATACATTCTGTGCCCATGTATCAGTAAACCAATGAAATGTTGCATTGTCAACATCATCACAGTTAGATGTCTTCAGACGTTTCCAAGAAGAATCTAAGTTTCCACTGACTACAGTGCAATCGATTTCCTTCCATTTCTTTAAAAGTGTTGCTAGGGTTGACTGAGCAAAGCCATACTTCTTTCCAACTTCTGTTTGTTTCATTTCCCCTATCAATATCTTTGAAGTTTTAGTTTCATTTTCAAACTTACCTGTTTCTGTGCTTTTGCCATTTTTTTCCATTATACACTACTGTCTTCTTTTTGGCCAACAGCCAGAGCTCTTGTCTGATAGAAAAAGGAAATGCTTCACAATTGGTCAAGCACCTACAGTTCCTCATAGTAGGATTGGCTGTGGCAGTGCCGCCAATTAGTTAGTTGTGGGCAGACCATTTTGGAGTGCGTGGAGGGTCCATAGGTAACATGATTAGTGAGTAGGCACTCCTAGCTCATTACTACTTGGTTCCTGTATTGATCAGTCATGATGAAGCATTTGAGTTTGCCATGGGTCGTGCAAATTCCGATAGTCATATTGTATCAGGGTTTTTACTTTCATTGTAGCTATGATAAATTACAGTATTTGTATAGAATTTTGGCCAGGACCACAGAAGTTTTATTGATTTACTGGGGTTTATTGTTGTAACAGATATTGTATTAGAGAGGTTAGACTGTGTTTTATTTGTTATTTTGATCAAGAGAGTAAAATTCTTTTTGTAAAGATTTTTCAAGGTAATTAAAAATAGGAAACTCATTCAGTTTCACTGTTACTGCTTACAATTTATAAATGTTTTTTTTTTCCATAGATTGTGATTTTCTTATTAATTTTTATCTCAAATATGCTGTTATTTTAATAAGTCTTGATTTTCTTTATAGTTCTGCCATTAGACTTTATCAGTATAAAAAAAATATATATATAAATAAATATATTTTCTATTTTTCAAATTGTTCTTTTAATCATATTATTTATATTTTTATTTATTATATTTTATGAATATAAGTTCAGTTCTTGCTTACCAAATTAAAAATAAGTTAATGTGGTTTTTATTTTTATTAACGCTGTAAATAATATTTTAAAAGTTAGTTTTTATAGCTCATACTATATTATATTTTCAGTTTAATTCAATAAACCATTACATACTTTTTTAGCACAAAAATCATGTAATATTTACTTTATAAGGGAAAATAAAATCCAAATAAAAATTTTGATTCCAAGAAACTTTTTATAATCAAAAGAAATAACATTTGCATTTGACACCATGTTCAAAATGATGAGGAAAAAATGAAAATGTTTCGGAATAGAAAATTTGTTTTGCAGTTTTTTTTCTCATCACTTTTTATAGCTTACATAAAGCAAAAATATGATTTTAATATTCTTTCAATTTAAAAAAAATATAGAAGAAATTAAATTGTCTTCATTTCTGTCACATCCAATCATCAGAAAGAAAACAGTCTTCCTTTGCAGACATATGTCAGAATTGAAGACAATTTAGTTTCTTCTATATTTTTTAGATTGTAAAAATACTGTCTGCCATATTAATTGAAATTAATATTCTTTGTTTGGTTGGAACATTACTCTAATTACTTCAGTACATAAAAACAAGAATATTTAGAATAACTGTGGAAAGATCCTGCTGTTTATTATGCTAGAAAGAATAAATGTAATCATGCTGAAAAAATCATTTGGATTTCGATTGACATTCAACAATTGCCTTTCCTCTGTTTTCAAAGATATTTTTATATATTTGTCTTGATTTCTGAGAAAAAATAATAATTATAGAGAAATCTTTTTGATATTTTCTTGAGTGGCTAAGCAAAGGAAAAAGAAAACAAAGAATAAATAAAAATGATCATTTATTCTTTTGTTTAACTCAAATGCATTATTTTTTATAAATATCAAATTATTGTTAATCATAATATAAAAGAACTAACTATTTACTAATTTAAAATAATTAATTATTAATTAATTTCAATGATTGTTGATGATGTATGTAAATTTGCACTACATATTTATGAACATTAAAAGTTAAACATTTTTTCAAATAAAATTATTTAAATGTAATGGAGATTTATGGAAAATAAATAAGATTTGTAGTCTAAGATGATTAAAAAATCAGATGTATTTTTGCATGTTCACTTATTAATGTAGCCAGAATTTATTGGATTATTAAGGCTATATAATAATCAGAATCAAAGCAATTTGGCTAGAAATAGGCAGTAAGAGTTGATGGCCAAAGTGCCTACCTCTAGCCAAATTCCTTTGATTCTGACTATTAAGTATCCTCAATATAGTCTAATAAAATCTGGCAGATTATGTAGCAATATTAATGCATCACATTGTTGTAATTTATATTCATCAATTAAAATAAATTCTTTTATTTTTTATATTTGAAAGATGCATAGATCAAAAATATTATTTCTTAGTGTTTATAACTGTACACATTATATTATTAAGTCTAATAATTAAGATATTTGATTTATATTTTAAACAGTGCATTTGGATGCCCTTATTCTCATCTCAATATGAACAAAGACACTGCTCTGCAAGACAGATTAGATCCTCCGAGGAATCTAAGCGACAATGTCGTAGACTTGTTACGCAAGAATACCGATATGGGTGGGACGATCGAAGCATTGAGGTAAATTTAAAATATTCATTAGTTAATTCAATCGTGTAATAAATCAAGCTTTTATTGATAATTTATTTGATCTTATAAAAAATTGTTAATAAATTTATTAAGTAACTTTTTGAAATATTTTTTATTTATTAATATTTTCAATATTGAAGATTGGGAATTTTTGGAAAAACTTATTTGATCCTTCTTCAAGTAAAAGTATTTTAATAATCAAATGTGAACATTAAAAGAATGTTTGATCTTTGTTTTGATGTGCTTTTCATAGAGTTTTAATAAAATTCTAATTGGAATACTCAACGAAATAAAATTTATTTTTCAGAAGGTGTCCCACGCCTGGTTGCGACGGTAGCGGACACATCGATGGACGATATTCTGTCCATCATAGAGTTTCGGGATGCCCTTTAGCTCAGAGTCAAGCGGATATTGCTAATGGAGATAAGGATGATAGTCGAGATTCCGATTATACTAAGTCTTCCATAAGACTTAATTCTGGGAGGGGGAGGAAAAGGTAAGAACAATAAAAACAGAATATGTGATTTTTATCAAAAATACAATGAATTTTAAACATTTTTGTAGTACAGTTTATGAAAGGATTTATTTATCTTTGAATTATTACAAGAATATTTATAATTTTCTGACTTGAAAATTATATTCCAAATAAACATTACCAAGATCCTAAATTGATTAGAGGAGTAGTATTGAAATGATAACAACATTGAATATATAAAAAGAATGCCGAACAATTTGGTTCGAATCAAAGGACTTATTATCTGTTAAAAGAACATAGTTATTCCTTAAATGCCAATATTTATTCATAGAATTTTAATAATTAAATTTTAATTGAGTTGATCTGTTCAAAGTCACATGATAGAATAATTAGAATTGTTTGAGGATAAATCAAAATAAATATACTAACACTATTTGTGCAAATATTGAATTTTATGCTAAAAATAGATGCTCTTTCTATCAGTGGAATTTTGTTACATCTCTGATACAACATTGCATTGTTAGAGCCATAAATAACATTAATAAAATTAGATGAAATGTTTAATTATAGCTACCTAGAATTACTATATTTAAAGAGTTCACTATTTTATTACATTAAAACCTCATTTTAACTGAGTAATTTGGGTGAGGGAGTACCCGCCAAAGCCGAAAGTCCGTTATATAATAAAGTAGATTTTTTGAATGCATGTGTTAAAAAATTCAAAAATTAGTTAATCTGAGACATAATTGTGTTTATTTAGTGAATGAAAGTTTTAGTTTCTTGACAGAGGATGCCATATTATATAAAACTTACCCAGTGGTGATATTCGAAATATATAACAAAGGGTTCGCTAACAGAAAATTTTTCCTTAATTTTTTTTTCGCTCAAATGGTGCATTAGCAACATTAGCGCAAAAACTGACCTTAAGATACCCATATAAATAAAAAAGATGCGTTGGCAAAAGTAAGTCAGTTAAAGTTTAACATTGTTTATGCCAGAACTATATATATATATATTGATAAATAATAACAAAAAGTGTTCAAATTGGTTTATTTTGTACATATTTTAATATTTTTCATTCGAAGTATTTTATAAACATAAAAATTGGGTTATTTTTAATCAGAAAAAGCCAGGTTTAACTGCTTTCCCTATGACTTTTCTTCAAAAAAAAAACTTTTCTAAATCATTTATTTTATCATTAGGTATTATTATAATAATAGACAGATATCATTGTCTATCAAAATACAATATCTTTTTTATTTCGCTGGCAGTGGCACAACACGTATTCCGCAGCCATCTTGTATTTTCTCACGCGCGTGGGATTGTGGGACCTTTTGTACGACTGGACTAGTTTCAAGAACTCTCTTGAGTCGATCGAGATTGAAACGGTTGATGGAGGTTGCACCAAGGCGAACGGGGTATAAGACTCTAGTTTAGTAGTGTTACAGAGTATAATACGTATATTTTAATATATATTTTTTTTAAAGAAACAAAACCACTGAAAAATATTACGTGTGTTTAACAACGGGTTCGGGAAACTTTGAAAATGTTAACAACGGGTTCGGCCGAACCTGTGCGAACCCGCTGAATATCACCACTGAACTTACCATATAGTAATGGAATTTATTCACAGATGGCAGTTTGCTGCTAATAGTTTTGTAGAATATAATATTCTGCCAAGCATAAATGTCATTAGGAGTTTTAAATTGACATATAACATTACATTACAGATATTAATGTGAAAAAATTTTTGTTTAACAATTTAGAAATAATGTATAGAAACAAATTTTTATTGCTGAAAGCTATTTGTGATGTTTTATTAAGTGAAATTTAACAAAAAGTTGAATACAGAACAAATTGAAAGTTTTCTTCATTGACATGAAGTTATTTTTTGTTTCTGAGCAATAATTACAATATATTATATATAAATGTGCATTAATTTGTTTGCTGATGCTTCTGAAATTTCTCTTTACTTTAAGGAATTTCCATTTATGTCTGTCTACATCTCTTTTCCTGTAAATATTGTAAAATGGGGCTAATAAAAACAAAATTTTCTGGAAGTTTTGTATGTGTCCAACAAAGAACCTAACTAACTTCTCTTTGGACATTATGTTCCGTTAGGCTGGCAACGTTATTCCAGATGCCAGGCCTTTTTGTATGTTATGGTTGGATATGTGCTTTTGATGTTTGACAAACTTTCTTGATAAGTGTCATATTATAAGATTTGCTTTATTAAAAAGTTGTGTTAGGGTCTTGTTGTAGTATAATTTAATTAAATTTTCAATGAAATCACTTGTATTTTGAATGCTTTTTTATAATCATTGACCTTTTTTTCTATTGAAATATTAGTTTAAATTATAAAGAAAAAATTCTAAAATACTTTAAACTGGTAATTATGCCATTTCAGAATTGAAATTAAAATGAATTACTGTAATAAGCTTTTTTTACCAAGTAATAGTTATGTTATCCCCTTTATTTAATTTTCTAAAGAAGACAGAACTGGCACATGACCTGATGCAATAACTCTTTAATTTTTCCAATAATGATATGCATTGGAAAAATTAAAGTTGTTGCATTGGGTCATATGCTTCATTCCATCTTCTTTAGTATAGTAAAGATTACTAATGGTGCAGTTGCTTGAACTTAAATTAAAAAAACAAAATTATTGTGACATCGTCACAATGCCAAACTCCAATTCTTAATCATATTTTTTATTTATTTAATTTAAAATATATGCTGTTGATTTCAAATTAGTAGCATCTTGCTTCTGTACATCTTACTTTTCCCAATAATGACAGTCGTGCCAATCATCTATGTAATTCCATTTTGGGGAAATTTTTAAATTGAAATTGTCTTCCAGTTTGCACTGTAAATTTGTATATAGTTAATTGGGACTTCCTATTCCCTAAGCTTTCCATGTCTGGTTTCGGCTTTCATCTATCTAAAACCATTCTGGAGATTAACAAGGCAGACAGGCGGAATGCAATTTTTAGAATTTCAGCCAAAAAACTCTATTATCTATACTAATATTATAAAGAGGTAATGTTTGTATGTAAGTTTGTTTGCAGCAGGTAATCTCCGAAACTACCCATCCGATTTCAAAAATTCTTTCACCAATATTTAGAATGGAACCTCAGGGTGGACATAGGCTGTATATTATTCCGTTAAACATTCATATAAATTAAAAGATATAATCTAGGTTAAGGCTTTTATGTCCAACAGATGGCGCTACGAGTACGACGCCCTAAGTTTGCTTTTCTGTGAGGCATTATGCTTTTCTGTGAAAATGAACTAAAGCAGATCATCTTCTATCTATTTATATAAATAAAAATGTAATGTTTGTTTGTTCCTACCGATTTCTTTGAAATTTTGACACAACGCTGCATTCGAATACGCACATGTTTTTATATAATATACATGTAGAAATTCAACCCCACTGAAGGGAGATGGTTAGGATTAAGGCTTATGGTAAAGAACTCTGCTTCTATTTATACTATTTTAGATGCGGGTTTTTGTGTTTTTGATTGCGTTTTAATAGGATACGTCAACAGAATGTACACTAACAACAAATTTTTCGATATTCCCCCCGCGGGGGAGAAAGACAGGATTAAAGCTTACTGTGAAGAACTTGGCTTCTATGATGCTATTTTAGATGCAGGTTTTGCGTTTTTGATTGCGTTTTAATAGGGAACATCAAGAAAATGTGCACTAAGAAGAAATTTTTTGAAAAATCCCCCCCACGGGGGAAGTGTTATAAATTTATAATAGATACATTTTGAGCCACAATAACGCGTGGTGGGGTCTGCTAGTCCATTATAACCTAGTAATGTTTTCAGTTAAATAGTAATTTCTAGTAGAATTGGCAGTTCAACATCATTATCATTTTATTTCATTTCCTTCACACTCTCTGATGTTACAATAGTAACTTTACTTAATAACTTAATAAATAATTTAAATTTCGCAATAAACTTTCAAATCTGAAACTTTCTTGCATTTGAACTTAAAAATCTTATTGTTCTTTTCAAGATTCTATGTATTAATAAGATAATATAAAAATTTATTTATTATTTATGTTAGAAATGTTTCTTTTATGTAAAGCCTCAAATTGATATTATTTATTCCTTTTTATAACTTAAAATTATAATTGAGAAACAAATTTGTTAATAAATAAACAATAATCATAGTTAAAATAGGCTAATTGTTTTTTCTTTTATTTTCAGGAAACTTCTTATGGAAGATAAGAAGAGAATATCTGGTAAGTTGAAAATAATAACAATTAAGAATCATTTAAGTTCAAAATATACTTTTTAGAATTTAATAGAAAACTCTAAACATAATTTAGATGATGACAATTAGCATTATTATTTTATTATTATTTATTATACAAAATTTCAATAATACTATACAAATTGTATTTTGTAGAGTGCAAACCATTCAATTTGATAGATACATTTGTCTAGATAGGATCAGTATTGAATATTTAACTGCTATAACTGTAAATTACCAACTAGCCATACAATATTTTCCTTAATTTCTTTTAAAACAATGATGATCTGAATCAATTATATAACTATAATTGATACAGATATTTTCACTCATATGCTTACTATTTGTTAGAAGAGCCAGATTCATTCTAAACAAGATAGCATTTGTATTATTTATTTATTTTTTATTATATTCTGAAAATTAGAAAGAATAAAAAAAGGGAACTTTTGTGAAAATCATATAATTAGAGGTATTTTAACAATTTCATTAATGACAATAAGCATAAACATATTTTAGATAAGCCCCAACATTTTTTTGCAATTTATAGTGGTCCCAAGCGTCCGTTTCGACCAACAATATTGCATCATTGTTCGTGCAGACATCCCATCCATCGCAAAGGCATTTTCGATCCTCGAGTCTTCTTTGGCGGTCAAAATGGACACTCGGGACAACTACAAGTAGCAAATTGCCATCAAATAATTGTTAGGCTCTTTGACTATTTATTATTCTGTAGATCTAGATCTATAAAACATTAGGAACATTAACTGTAGAGTACTTGAAGGGATGCAAATACTCTACATATACATCATAGAAATATAATCTATTTATAAAACTGGATAAGATTCCAAAAAATAAAAGAAACCAGCCCCATAATTCCAGGAATGCATTTTAATAAAGTAAGAATGTTTTTGACCTCAATTAATAGATCTTTCAGAGTCAGAACACAGTTAATGTAATGGAACCGAATACACGTAACATTCCAAAATAGAATATATACGAATTTTTGAATACAAAAGTAACGATAAGAATAAAGTAACAAAAGTAAATAAAATAGAGTAAAGCATATGTACAAAATAAAATTATAATTTAAGTCAACATTGTAAATATTTGGAGCAAGTTAGACTTCATAGATGCATTGCCAAGCAGAGGATGAAGTGTCTGTGTCCATGTAGTTGACACAATATTGTTTTTTACTGGCTTTATTTGCCATCTCATATTTTAAGTATAGAAAAAAATTATATAATATGAAATTTTAAATGAAAAGTATATTTAATCATAGTCTACTGGAAGTATAAAATTTATCAGAAGCAGAGCAAAGTCTCCTTAAAATTTATAATAATACTTGGTTTTAATTTTGTAATCTCGGTTAAAATACGAACTTACTGTTGTACTTCTTAAATTTGTCAAGTTAACAAATACTGGACTTGTCACACAGGAAAAGGAAAGTACTTTGATTAATTCTATTCTTCTCAGACCTTTTCCGGTATGATAAGTCCAATATTTGTTAACTTGACAATTGGTAAAAGAGGACAGGAAGCCGCGAACACATTACGAACTCGCCGTTATTTACATACATGCAGCTGTTTACTACTAATTTCATTGGATTCAAGTAAAAGAAAATCCAGCAACGAGTTGCTTAACTTTTCCCGCAGCATTTAAGACCGCGCGTTGCGTCATCCGTTACGATATTTTATTATTAAAAACTTTTTACATTTTTAATTATTATAAAACGGCAGAAAGTTTAATTTCGAGGGCAGAGGCGGGTTTTATAAAAGAAAAACAACTATAAATGTTAATAACCAGTAAAATCGTCACGAAGTCCGATCCTATCGGAGATACACACGACTTCCTCTATCCCCACCTCGCTACCTTTATCACCAAAGTTTAATAGCAAAGACCTCCCCCAACAAACAAATCTCCCTGCTAAATTTCAGAAATTTTCGGCAAAAAGCACGGGAGTTATTAAACTTCAACGGTGCCCCCCACACTAACATCCATACATTCAGAAAAACTCCCGAATTTTTTACATTTTTCGATGTTTCGGGGGGTCAGAAATGTAGAAAACTTGGGGAGTGTTTTTTAACCGGTGGCTCTCTATTTGGTATAACAATTGATTTGTATTTGTAGTGAGGGAAAATGCGAAATCGCCTTCGTCTACTTTAGAAGACAGCATTCACAAGTCGGTGTTTTCGGCGCCTCCCGTTTCGGACCCGCAGCTGGAGCAGCCCTACTGTTGGGAGCAGCACACGAAATTTCTTCCCGGAATAAACATGGTGACGGGTGAAACCGTCTCGAAATGGTCGGTGGACGAAGTGGCCAATTACGTGTCCACGCTTTCGGGCTGCGAAGAGCACGCTCAGTTGTTTAAAGAAGAGGTAAGTTTCCCGGACCACCGGTTCTTTTCGGTTAAATTTCACGTGGATAAATTCGGATTTTTTCTTTTGTTCCCCATCAGCAGATAGACGGCGAGGCGTTTCTTTTACTGAACCAAATGGACATCGTGAAAATACTCAAAATAAAACTGGGTCCTGCGTTGAAGATTCACAACAGCATTCTCTCCTTCAAAAAGAATTTCGTGGATTAGAAGAAGAAGGATCGGGATTATTTTGGGTTTTTTGCAGGAACCGCACGTGACTGCATCGCTCACTGCCAGGCGCGCGTCCGATATTGTTTTGCTCAATATGGCGAAGTTAGCATTTAGAGCAGAGTGTTGTCCAAGTGTTTCGGAACGAGAGACGAAAAGGATCATTGGTTAAAATACGCAGCGGGTAACGATTACGTCGTAGTTTTTATCCTCCGGGTTAGTTTCTACCTCCGACGTTCGGATCTATCTTCGTTGATTTCATTTAGTCATTTCATCTCTGTACATATTGTATGTAATGTCCATAATTTATCATACGTGAAAGTAACATCGTGTATAATACATACGCTATATGGAAATAATGATTTTACCACTAACGGATGTTTAACCGGGTTATGTTTAGCGACGTATTCATTCCATCTTCCGGGTCTCTCCGACTCGACAGTGTTTTATTTTTAAATCCCAATACCGGACTTGCCAAAACCGATAGCAAAGAAGAATAAACCCGTGGGAAATTTCCGCGGTGGATCTCTGGGAAGTAGCGTTATTGTATTTTCTCGTGTAAAGAAACACATTTGTTCTTTGTTTTTGCAAGCGATTTTATAATTTAGGCATTAATACTTTAAAGTGATTTAAAATATCTTTTTTTCGGTTCTGATATAATGCAGCTGTAGTTCCTATAAATAAATAAAAGTATTTAAGAGAAATGAAAAGAAAACAAATAAAATATCTGCATTATATATAGAAAAGGAGAAAGCTATTTTAATTACTGAATTATAAAATGTTGGTTTGAAAAATACTTCCATCATAAAATAATTTTTTCAATAAAAAACAAAAGTTTTGAAAATTACAAGTCGAGAGTTGTTTCAATTTAAGAAGAAATAAAACTATCCGGCAGTTTACAGTCAGTGGCTATTTTTATTCCGTAAAACTACGTGGGCCATTCGGCATTTCATTCAGTATAATAGCTGTATTGTTATTTTTAGTTAAGTCGCGCCATAATTCAGTAACGATTATTATTGAAGTGTAAAGTTAGAATATGTCAAGAAATGAAAACTACGGATTAATTTTCAAATACAGGAAAGCTGAATCATAATTTTACTACTACTACTCAAAGCCATCTAGAAGGATATTTAACGGGCCAAATGGTACCAAATTTGGTACGGTGGCATTTCTGGACTTGCGGAAGACGTTCCGGTTAAAAAAAGAGTATCCTAACGCCGCTGTGGCACTTTTGGCGCTGCAAGCATCCAGGATATTCGGAGCTTCCGTTTTCGTTAAGTAAACTTACGCCACGAAATAGCCTTTTTTTTTGTTTTTGTATAAGATGCTCGTGCTATCTATCCATCAACAGCGATGCTGGGGATGCTATTTAATTCCTGTTACATCTTCGATTTCTTCGTTATTTTCGGACTGACTACCCCGTGGACATTACGAAGGCGTCTTTTTTTGAATATGCCTATCGTGGGTTCGGTCATGCCGAATTGTAAACGGTTTTAATCATTGCATTTCATCTTAAGTAGTTACGCAATTTTATTTTGTTTTCCATTGTTAACTCTGCCTCGTAGGCCCTTCGATCGTACCCATTACTTGTTCGACCAGGCCCACAATGGACGCGGTCGAGTGATGAGGGGAGACGGGGCCCGACTTATGTGAAAATGGTAATCGACGTTTCGACATTTATTTAAAATTATTAATCGCAACTGGCCGGTTTTTCGTAGACGTCCTCCTGCCTGGTTTCCCTCGGCAGATGATCCACGTGTCGCGTTGCCTCATTACACGGGGCGAAACGAATTCCAAAACAGCGAGAAAATATTGAATTTAAATGAATTTATTTAAAGTGATAAGATTTGTAAAATGGAAAATAATTCTTAATACTTAAGGAATGATCGCGCAATTCTCTACTATGGTAACGTTATCTAACGTTGCTCTCAGTTATCTGACGTGGCATTGGGCAATAATAACACAATTCCTGTCAAATAAGCAGAAAAGAAAAAAGTATACAGGACAGTATTTGCAGAGATCGAATTGTCAGTCGTATAAATTCTGTACATTATCGTAGATTTTTAATACAAATTTTCGTTTTAATTAATATTTTAAAACAGTCCGCCCCGTCGCCGCTAAGAGACCTCTTTTATCCCCATTATGGAGTCGACGTATCTAAACGGACCCCCGAAAATTTCTGGGGCTTTTCAACTTATCTGAATTTGATCCCAGGGTCATCCGCCCGTCCGTTTTAATTATTACAATTTCTTTTATGTATGTAAATTTTAATACTATACAAAACATTTAAAAGGGGAAAGAATATTAATATACAGAAAAATATTTATTTATTTATTTATCGTGAATATAAACAAAGAAAACTGTAATTTTGGATTTATGCAAACGGTCTCCATTATGCATCGTCTTTGTATTATTGATCGATTCGACAAAAATTCTCGTTTCAATAGTCCATTCGGCTTACGTAAATAGATAAAAAAAACTAATTCAAACAGATATTACCCCGCTACTATTATCTTGTTTACTTGGTTTATATCAATATTTTTATTTTATTAATAAATTTTATAATATTCTTTTACTCTTTCCGCCCGTGGGCACCGAACGGGCCTTTTCCCCATATCCGTTCGGCCAGGCCCTTAAATAGGGCGGCCGAATGAAGGACGGGGCCTAAAAAAATTCTTGGGGATTTTTCGTCCAAATTCGATCCCAGATTCGTCCCTCAACTGTTTCGGCTGTCCGGTCGTCGTGGTTTAAGAACTATTCGTGTACACTTTTGCACATTTCGTTACTTTTTAATTTCTTTCCTCTGTAATTAATATATACGGACATAAAATCTAATTTGCTTTGGGATAAGGCAACGCGACACATCTATGATTTGCCAAGGGGGTACCTCCCGCGAGGACTTTCTATAAATGGCCCCCTGTTTAGGCGTTATATCCCCGAAGAAAACCTTGAAAATCCATCTGGCCATCCAGTTGGCCTGGCACGAACACGCGACCTACGACCAGCATTCGGCCACTTAAAAAAATCCAGCAACGAGTTGCTTAACTTTCCCGGCAACATTTAAAACTGCGTGCGTGGCGCCATCTGTTACGATATTTTATTATTAAAAACCTTTTACATTTTTAATTATTATAAAATGGCAAAAAAGCGATTAATTCTTCGTTACTTTCCCTCTGTCATGGGAAAATAGTGAAGAATTTGTATAGTGTTTAATCGCTTGTTAGATATTACAACGAAGTAAAGAACGGAAGTGTGTAAATGTTCGATTAATCTTGTTTACAGAAGATAGAATTTTGAAATAACCGAGCCATCGAATAGGAACAGGATGAGCGAATGGGGCAAGGTCACGGTACTGACGAAACTCTCCGGCAATAATTGAAAGAATTGTTGATATTTATAAAATAAACGCCGTGTTAAGAGGTGTTCTTCCGCTGCCATTTTATTCGCCCATTTTGAAGCTCAATAACTCCCGTGCCTTTTGTCTAAAATTTCTAAAATTCAGCGGGGAGGTTTGTGTATTAGGGGCATCGATAATGTTAAATTTTGGTAGTTAAAGGCGAAGGGAGGAGATAGAGAGGGTCGCGTGTCGTATCTGGAGTAGGGTCCTATTTAAGGTAGATTCTACTGGTTATTAGCATTTATAACTTTTTATAAAACCCTCCCCTACCCTCGAAATTAAACTTTTTACCATTTTATAGTAATTAATTATATAAAAGATTTTTATAATAAAAAATCGTAACAGATGGCGCCACACGCAATTTTAAATGTTTCCGGGAAAGTTACTCAATTTGGTTGCTGGATTTTTAAATTTGAGTTAATTTAAGAGAAGGAAAGAAGGAGAGTAATCGAAGCGTTTTGGTGTTAGATAAGGACCTTTCGTTGTGTTTAAACAAATATTCAATGGAAAGTTTTTAGCAATTTTTGTGTTAGAATTAAAAGAGAATTTCTGCCAACGTAAATAAATTTAATCTGGCGTTTTGTTGATTTTATTAACTCGCAGTTTACGTAAGTTGGTTTGTTCTAAAAATATTTGCCTTTATTCCTATCAAAGTATTGATTTAAGATTAACGTTTACTTCCGAATTAATCCCATTTTCTATAAATTCCGTTCTACAAAAAGAAATTTTTCTTATTTCGCAAATACTCTTTCATTGAAGGGAAATTTGTCTGATGAATTCAAGAAAATATAAATTGTTTTCGTTATACAAATGGAGAGGAAACTAAACTGAAAAGTATAATGTTTTTTTAATTCTTTTTTGAAGTAGATTTGATGACAAGGCAACGCAACAGGTAGGAATCTACCAAAAGGAGAATGCAAAAAGAGACCTTTCTGGTCTTATTTAGGTGTTAGGCACGTAAAAGAAATCCGGAAAACTCCACGGAAAACCAACCTCACTATATGTGTTTAGAGGTTTTATCTACTCGGCCTTAAGTGACTGGTCGCGAGTTTGGGTCTCACTAAAACCTGGGGTTTCCCGGGGTTTCTTGCGTGTCTAACACTTAAATAAGGAGCCAGCATCCCATAGACCTTCCGGGAGGCATTTTCCCTCGTGTTAGATACGTAATTTAAACTTAGCGACGGTTCGAGACAAATTACATTGAAATTTATAAAAGAAAAACGCAAAAATAAAACGGGTCCCGTGGCGGGAAGTCCATCGGGGCCGCTCGACCGGACCTAATATTTATAGGGGCGTCAGAAACGAGTAATGAATCAAATTTTATTATTTAATATAGTAGGGGACTCTCTCGACTTCCGAGAGGCCCTTAATCATCGTCATCTGGTCCTGTGCCAATAAAATTGGGTAGCGAGTTCCTTCCACGGAGGCCTTATAACCATATAGAAAGCCTCATTTCAATAAATAAATTTAATATTTTCTCGATAAAGGAACTTGAATACAATTATTCCATTCTTATAATCTACGTGGTCCTAAGCTGTAATATCAAAAGGGTCCTTCTCTTCCAGTAAGTAAATACAGTAGAGCGTCGTTTATCCGAAAGTCGGTTATCCGAAACACCAGTTATCCGAAAGAATTCCAGTCGGCCTAAAGTATAATTTTTATTTGTTTTTATATTTTTCAATGTATATATTTCGTTTGCAAAACATAAAAATATCATTTTTAACGATACAAGAGCCACGATTATTATTTTAAAAAGTTTACGTTAGGCTTAACATCGACGAAAATTCAACGCGAAGCGACACGCAACGGAGAAAAATTTCAACACGGGATAGGTCAATATATTTTTTCGTACATAATCGGTTATCCGAAAAATAAGTTATCCGAACAACCCCAGTCCCCAATTGATTCGGATAAACGACGCTCTACTGTACAAATAAAATTGTGAGGTCCTAAACTGTAGTCTCGTAACGCTAGGCCTTTATATAACTGCATTCGTACTTGTCGAAAAATATTTAGACAAGTACAGATGCAATTATATAATTTGATAGTTTGGACACTCTTAACAAGTTCGAAAATCATAACAAAACGCGATAAAATATAAACAAATTATATAAAATGTAAATTATAACATTTATATTTTCTATAATCAGATATCTGGATTTAAAAAATACAGTAATCAGTCTACCGGTCTGGGGATCCGGGTTCGAATCCGGGCGAGCAACCCCGAGAATTTTTCACGGGTGGTTTCGTTCCGGATATGTCGAGTTTCGTACTTCATCACTCGATCGTCCCGTTGTGGGCCACGCCAAATTCACGATAGGTATAAAAAAGGCCCTCTTAGTAACCTTAGGATTGATTGTATAAGGTAATGCGGTGGGCGATCTGTCGAACCTCCGATGAACGGCTACCTGTAAACGGCGACCATT